CTTTGCCTTTTGATCTAAATATCTTCCGTCGTAGCCAATCACATCTATCCTTCTAGCCTCTAACTGCAAGAATAAGTACTGAACTAGCGCGTCGCGTCTCTCATAGTCAAAACCCTTTTTAGTTCAATCGTAATAATTTGCTAAATGTTTCGAAGCTGATGATGAAATTGAAAGTCGAATTAGAAAACATTCAAGGAACTGTCAAAGATGAAGACTATGCCATCGAAGAGAAACTACTAATTAATAATTTGTTATGGTTTGGTGGATGCATGTTTTTTTTTTTTGATCGTTGTGTCTTTTCCAGCTTACGCTCTAAATGAATTACCCTCATTTGCTTTGATACTATGTCTTATTTTGCTGTTCCCAGCTTTAGCTTATGTTCCTGACCTCCAGAAACCGGGTGACAGATGCTGTTGCTTATAAAATTCGGCGCTTTATCCTCGAGTACTTCGAGGACGGACACTCATTATGTGATATGTGTCCACGCTGGACAGTCGTAACGATGTAGACTGTTAATTACTGAAACGTTCGGTGCATCGGCTTAATAATTAGTGATCCTAAGGATCAAATCAAAGCCCAGGCCTCCTTCCTGGCCTGAAAGTACAGCAAATCAAGTCCTTTTCTGGGATAAAAAAACCAACATGGCAAGCTGGCCGACGGCCCTATTTCTCCATATAAAGCCTATAGCTTACAGCGCATAAACAATATAGATCTTATTGGATGAGTTTACCCCTGATAAGTAGGAATGAACCTAACCGCCATCGAGAAAGACTACGAATATTTGGAATAATTACTCTGATTGTAGGTAGCATCGAAACAACACAATAAAGCAGAGACTCATTACCTACATCTCTCATCGACAAACAAGAAGCCAAATAAGGAAAAACCGGTTGGAGATAGAAAAGGGAACGAGTCTAACAAATAGCGAAAGCAATCAAAAGTATTCATTTTAGGAGAGAGCTGAAAACCACAGGGAAAGGTTGGCGCAAAAGTTGGGTTTAACGGTACCCATAAAAATTCAAGGCCTGACGTAAGCAACCAAGTACTGGAAGCAATAGATCAGTAGTCCGAGGAAGTGATGAACTCGCTGAATTGAACTTTATGGTTGTCAGAGGATAGTACGGAGGGGAACATGTGTTCAGAAGAAGAAGGAGTTACAGAACACCAAAGCCTACAGCATTAAACCTTCAAAGTTCTGGGGAGAGACGAAAATTCCTTGAGTT